TGCCGGGGCCGCCTGCCGGCGACAGGGAGAAGGGGTGCCCAATTCCCCAGGTCCCTGCCGGTGACAGGGAGAAGGGGTGCCCAATTCCCCAGGTACCTGCCAGTGACAGGGAGAAGGGGTGCCCAATTCCCCAGCTACCCGTGGCTGGCGCGAAGGCTGTCCATGCAACACTAACGTCACGCTGGGTTCAAATTCCCTGCTTCGTAGGCTTCCCATTTCCTAATCTATTGTTACGGAAGAATTGATACAGCTTTGTTAAATGCGGTAAATCATTATCTGAGCAGATCCCACTGGGAAGGGTGAGACCCCTCTAACTTCAGCCAAACACCTCTGACTGCGAGGTTTCTTGATGCATTCCTCGGGGGAGGCTGCAGGATCACAGCAGCTCCTCGGGGTGGCAGGATTCAAAGGAGCTCCTTCCAGATTTTTAATCAAACTCCTCACTGGCTAAAAGGTTTCATGACCAGTCCAAGGGAAGCCTTTGGAGTGGAAGAGCTTGGTGAGCGTTCAGAGGTTCTGTGCGCTTCAGGGTGAAAGAAGTCCCAACCCACGCGTCCCATTTGGGTTCAGCACCACAAGGGAAGCGAGATGAGACCCGCACCGTGTCCGAGCACAGACCCACTGGGGGTGAAGGAAGGCAGCAATGACCTGAAACGTTAATTTAGGCCAAGGAATGGTGCAAACTCAGTATCACCACTTTTCAAAAGACACAGCAGACAAAAGGGAGTGACGCAGATTCCAAGATCCTCCTTTGCTGGGGCAGGTCTGTTGAAAAGCGTCAGCAAACAAGATATTTGAACAGGAATAGGGTAGTGATGCGACGTCTGCTTTCATGTTGGGGAACAGCAGGATACAGATCTTCACTTTCCCCTCCACACCCCGACCAATACCGACTCATTTCCCAGCTATTTTGATGAAGTCTTTCTAATGAAATATGCCAAGTGAATCACTCCCTCAGGAAGAAAGCATCACTTGAAGTTTTCTATTCAACTAATTTAGATCGTTAACATGGAAACTACTTAAGAAAAACAAAACAGTTTCAGATGAAAAAGGCCCTTTGTACCTTTTTTTTCTGCTCACTCCAGTTAAGTTCTTTCCCCATTATATCTACGATTCTTGGCAGGGCTTCCTCTGCAGCCTGCACATTCAGGAAGGCCAAGCGAGTGCGTCGGGAAATCATATCCACTGCCGTGCGGGCATACTCTTTAACACCATAGACAACCTAGAATAATAAGGCAAGAGGAAAAAATGCAAATGAGAAAGCCAACAGGCATTGTCGGAAATTATGTTTAGCATCACAAACTGCACTGCTGGTCTGGCTATACACAATGAACCTTCTGTAACTAGTTTCCACCCGAGCAAGAGAAGGGTTTGAAAAGCTCCCTTTTCCTGGGAACATCTTATAAAATGCAGCTGGGATCAAACACGTCTATTTTTTATTTCATATATACAGTATATGAGTATAAATATTTAATTATATGAAATATATTAATATGTGTATATATAAACATAAAAACAAAGCATGCCCTGGGGAAGGGGAAGAACAAAAACAGGAAAAAAATCTGGACCTCACCAAAGGAAAGGGCTTATGGAGATGTTCCACAGAGCGAGACTGACCTGCTCTAGAACCTGCTCATCCCAAGAAGAGAATCAAAGGACATCACGTAGTTTTTCCACATACCTCAGCTTCAATATAAGGAAATTCAGACACAAGACGTTTTCCAACAATAGGCCATCTCTTTCCTGTGACTTGGGCTATCTTGGCCACCTCAAAAGCCTTGTCACCGTATGTCGAAGCTAGATGCTGAGCCACCTGTGGAGTTGAAAAAGACATTCAGCGTGCTGTTGAAAGCACATCAAATACACACATGTATTTCCTGTCAATACTCTTCTCACCAATAACAAACAGGCTGAAGAGGGCATTAGATTTTGATTGTGTGGGAGGAAACTACTTGTGTCGTGGATGCGTTAGACCTGTACTGACAGTATTATGTATGTATCAGTGGAAATGTAACTAACGATGTTCCAACTCTTCTGCTACACTTGGTCACATCTGAAGTACAGATCTTGTTGGGCTCAAAGGAAGACAGACCCTGGCACATCATAACATTTTAAAGCAGAAAACAGTCAAGATTAGGAGGAAGAGAAAAGGGAAGCAAAAGAACAATTACTAGAATTTTTTTTTTTTAAACTATCTTTGCCCCAGCCAGATCATAAGCTCTTATCAAGCTCAACAGACCTTTGTAAAATTTACGCTGGGATTAGATTTAGCGGAAAAACAAAACCCTCCAACACAGAAACATCAGAGCATCAACAGAAACCATGACTCACCTCACTTTCAAGTCCATAGTCTTGGACCAACCGAATGTAGAGAGTGGGACTCCAGTCCTCAGCGCCTTCCAGCTGCAGTCCAATGGTCTTACTGGAACCCACCTTCAGATCGTGCGCCTGAACAGCTGCATCAATGGTGTCCTGCGCCATGGCACGGTAGGTTGTCCACTTCCCACCTGTAACCACACATTACTTCTTTATTGGGGAAAACAAGGGGAATACGACGACGGTATGTATGATATATATTTTATGCATCACTTTATAGCTCCTGGACTTGTTCTAACAAGCCAGTCATGCTACCACTGTCAGATCATTAGCTAGGTAAAGGAACACGAAGGATTATCCTGTAAGAAGGAAAAGTTTTGAACACAATCCCCTGGGGAAGCCCAGACAAGCTGTACTGTAGGAGAACTTGCAGTACCTGCTATGGTGACAAGGCCACTATCGCTAATGGTAACAACGTGATTCCGGGATATCGACTGCGTGTCTTTGGAGTTGGGGTCTGTGACCAGAGGACGAATGCCGCTCCACGCTGCCAACACGTCTCCTCTTCTCACTGTCCAGGACCGAAGACGAGCCAAAGTCAGCCAGGAACAGAAGCGGGAAGTCACCCCATCCACGAGCAGCCCCACTAAAGTGGCCATTTCCTTTTTTCTTCCCCCTACACCGCTCCTCTGCCTCCTGCCCCATCACAAGCCCATCCCTAAAGCCAACCCTGACTTCTCAGTAAACTTGGAGGAAGAAAACCCGAGGGCACAGTCACAAAAGCCCTAACACTTGTAGGAAAACACGCCAGCCTCCGAAAGTCACTTTATTTAATATATAAAACGTAGGACCAAAAGCGAATTTAATTAAATTAAGTTTGTTGCTTATTAAATTTACAATAGAAAAATTGACTGATTTCCTTTATGCTGAAGTCTTTGGAACATTTTTTTTTTTTTTAATACAACTTTTAAATAAATGATAATTGAAAATCAGTAACAGGGTATAAAAATATCCCCCAAAGAACACAAAATAGATTTCAGGAATCAATGGTGCTCTGCCAGCATGTTTAACCTGCCAAAATGAAGTGTTAATCACAGAAATAAGATACCATATTACGTTTATAAACTAATGAAACTAGAAAAAGCAGCATGCGTGACACTATAATTAAGCAGTTGGAACACGTCCAAGCCTGTGTAAGTTGATAACCCTGGCACTGTCTCTGGCAGCAAAAAGGCAGGTCTGCAGCGAGTTGATACGGCCAGCACAGTTGTTCATTCAATAACAAGCAATCTATAAACACCGCTAATTGCGGATGGGAAAAACAGCGTGCACCCAGGTAGGTTTCGTTCAAAAGAATTAAACACTTCACAACGCACTTCTGTGAAATACCTTGAAAAATCCCTGTCGTAGTCACCCTCTCAACTCTACCAGCTACCTGTCTGGCCAACAGCACTCTCTTAGATCGACTGCTGCTCAAGGAACAAACAGGAACGTTTCCTGAAGACTTCTTCTGAACTTTATACAATCCAGAGCCATCAATTATCCCCCTCGGGAAACAAGCAATCTAGTGTTTCCCATCTCTGGACAGCAAGTTTTCCTAAATCTAGGGACATTGTGATGCTCCTGACTGAGTGCTTTTCAGATTTTTTTTTTTTTAAATGCTGTTACTACAACAGAAATACAAAAGTACAAATGCTCTCATTTAATAATTTTTAAAAAAACCTCACTATGAGGGAAAGAAGCCTCTCTCCTTTAAACCAGCACTGAGTCAGAGCGGGCCAGCATCTTACAACAAAGGTGTTCTCAGCTCAGCTATGACGAGAACAACTGTCACCAAGTAATTGTTAGAAATTCTCCTTTTTGCCCATTATACCTTCCACTCCCACTGAAAACTGACGCTATTAGACATTTGCCAGATCAAGAAAAATAAATTCTAAGAATAAAGTGCCTAGAAAAATGGGAATAAAAACAAAGGCACGGGGAAAATGAGAACAACTTTTCCTTCAAGAAAACAGGTGAATTATTTGCTGCACTTGCATTGATGTACAACTGACTGTCCCAGTTCCGCACAGCCTTGCCTCTGGCCCCCAGAGAGACCAGAATGACTGGGCTGTGCAGCTGGACAGCTAGCACCAGCTGGCTGAAAGGTGTGTGAAATCTGGACATGCAGATCTCCCTTTAAACAGCCAAAGCAGTGCAGGTGCATCTGGAAAAGCATCACCTTATAGCTCTGAAACACAGATCAAGATGCCACTTAGGTCCCACGGGTTTTAGAAACACCCAGATGCAGAAGAACCACAGTCAGAGGTACAGAAAAACTTCAGCCAGACAGTGTTGACTCAAACTGCAAAGGCACAGGCTCACCAGGACCTTCCCGGGGAGAAGCAGAGCTGACGAAGGCTCACCTTCAACATCTGCACTAAGGTAGTTGCGCACTTCATTCAAAATGAAGTTGATATCCTCTTCTGTTGGTATCGGATGGGAAGTCACATCAGTCGGGGTGTCTGTGGTCCCTGCAATAGTCATCTTCTCCCACGGCAGGAAGAAAATCACTCTGCCATCGCTGGTGGCCGGGTCAAGCAGCCCCATGTTGTCAGGGCTGAAATAAAGAAGGGACGTGGTTCAGAACAGCTCTGGCAGCACCGGAGAGTCCGGTGTGGCACTCCTTGCACCCCAGATAAACTATTAGAACACCACCTTTGTTCTTAGGTCAAATGATTTAACAGATCAGAGATTCCACATGCGGCTGTGACCTGACTTTAAAAGGCAGTCCCAGCAGTTTTGAGAAGTAAGGCTGTCGAATGTGATTCTCGGCTATTACGAGAATTCGATTTCCTAGGCAGTGTCGCAGACCAGCTCCTTAAATGGAGCAATCCAGCCTGCGGCACCTCACATCTCCATCCACTCTGGGAAATCTTGCCCTTTGAAATTTCAAATACAAACATTTGGAAATTTAAAAAACCCGATTATTAGAAACTTAAGGAATGAACAACTGCTTTTAACAAAAAAAAAACCCAAAAAAAACAACAACAACAAAAAAAAAGGCAATCATTTATATTATGCCAGAAAGGAAAGGGAAGGCTGAAGCAGAATACCCATTAAAACGGAAGAAATAAGAACAGAACCCTAGTTCTGTTTGGATGCATCTAAGTACATAACAAGAAAAATTAGAGATAAAATATCATTAACCCAAGCTATCAATTACCTGCACCCTACACAGAGGGCAAAAGTAAAGATGTACAAAATCCTAATGACCCCTACAACCTGCATTCACAAAGGTGGTGGGAGCGAGGGTTAGTAACAGAACGAAAAACATAGAGAAAACAAGAGGATGGCAACATGGGACTCAGAAGCGTTATGAGCCCATTTAACCAGTCGAGTCCCAGCGATGCCACAGCCCGAGCCTGTTCACCACCTGCCCCTGCAGCAGGACCAACACCCCCAGGCTCCCGGGGGACCCACACCAAGCAGTACACTCTGAAGGCTCCCGGCTCTTGCATCCCTGAATGGGGAACCGTGTTCGAAGGAAAAAAAGAGGCAAAAGAGACACTAAGTGGATGCTGCTATTCCGAGATTTTTCATTTAGTTATGCCAGAGCTGCAAACAGAACGATTCAGTAAAACGAAGAAAAACAGTAGTTCTTTGTGCAGTCAATTTTAATTTATGTATCAGTGTTTTCTGATATAATGTAAAAAAAAAAAAAAAAAAAATCCCCAGGTACAAACCCAGTTATCCTCATGACTTATTAAACAGCTCTGCTTATACTTCAGAAAACAAAAGGCTTCTATAAACACCTCAAACAGCTTCTATAGCGGGAAACATTTAAGCTGCCCCTTTTTTTGTTCATTTTTATTTAAAGGAAAGATGCTTTCGTTTCAGGTGCTGGAAGTCCTTGTGAAAGCATCGGCAGTCAGTTTAGCAGCCTTCAGGTTTTGCACCTCTTCCCGATAACGCAGGAGGATACAGGTGGTATGTGGGAGGAGGACAGGGCATGTATTTCTGTGGCAATAAGGACCACCAGGGGGAATAATGCCGCGGACTCAAATAACTGCCGACACAATCAGCTGAAGGTAGACAAAGACCTGCTCGGATGAATTACCTATTCAAGAGAGCCATAAGCTGAACCACTGAATATTTTATTTTTAGGAAGTCTAAACTGATTATTGAAGGTAAGTTTTCAATATCTGGAAAGGCTAGAAGAGAAGCTGAAAATTTCATATATAGCATGTATATTAGAACATTTTTAGGTGATATTTATAGACAGCTTAAGCATACAGTTGGAGAAGTACAATTTAATAGGGGAAGTCAACACAGATTTGTGAAAGGTAAATCACGTCAGACAAATGATTACTTTTTAAAATGAAAAAGCTATTGATTTAGAGACAGAGGAAACTAGAGATCTAATATACAGTATCAGAATATTCAGAAAACTTTAGACTTTTTCTCAAAAGTATGAATTTCTTTTAATGTGATTTTGTAAAAACTGTTAAAAATAAGGAAGAGAAGCAAGTAAAGACTTAAAACTAAGTTTCACCGCAACAGCTGTGGACCAAAGTGTTTTCAACCTGATTACACAGCAAGTGATGAGAAAGGATGACGCAAGTTTTCCACATGCCAATTAATTTACTGAATTAACGACTACCAGCTATCTGGGGAAGCTCTCTCTCAATCTCCTATTGCTATCTTTGTTCCATCTTATATAAAGAACTGAAGAGCCACCAAAAAAACCCACAAAGTAGGGTGTTTCCCATCAAAAAGCAGCAACCTAACACCCAAATGTTAGCTGTTCCGGAGTCGTGCTGCTGCACACCAGGAATACGTCTGAAACAAGACGTTTTTAAGACAAATTCTTACGATTACAGAATGGATGCGAGAATGTGGTATGAGCTATAGCGATATCATTGCAAGATTTCTCCCGTAACCTTTAAAGACTACTAGCATGGCTAAGTTCAGGATTGTAAACTCTCTCTGAAGTCCAAAGCAATGCCTTTACACCGAAAAATAGGCGCAAGCGGCCTCGGAGTGGAACACAGGTGGCTCTGAAGCAGCAGGACAATCCTGAAGAGCTGACTTAAAGCAAGCAAACGTGTTTGGAGCATGTCTACTTTTTAAAAAGCAGTGCAGTTCAACTGGACAATGTATGTCGAATGTTTGACAAATGAGGAAAGAATCTTGAAGACAGATGACTAACGTACACGTAGAACGTACGCGGCTAGAGACTACGGATCTAGGCAGGATGACTTCACCGAAGAACAGATCAGAACTCTTGAGCCTGAAGTCAGCAAGTGGTTCACTCCTGGACATTCAATACGGCATTGTACACAACAGACACATGGAAGATCTCTACTCAATGAGGCATCTGATCACAGCACCCCAAACGCAGTTGAAGAACAAAGAGGTGACTTTCCATAGAGTGGAACTAAGGTTTAACAGAAAAGTTTACCTGGAATCTGGAAAGCAGAGCAGATAGGAAATTTCAAGAAAGACTGAGAACATCTGAAATTTGTCAGAAGGGAGGGGAGAGAAGTATTGCGTTCACAGGCACGTTTCAGGCAAGGAGCCCATCTGAACAAAGGCAGCCAAACCCTCTCTCGTTTTAGCAGTTAATACACTTAAACAACTGGGAGTGGGAGGACTTACAGCAACTGCTATAATAGACGTGCGTATGCTAAAAGTAGAATTATTGAGAGGAGGAATACTGGGACTATTAATGAAGAACATTAATGAGCAAGAAACCCAAAGGAAATGAATGCATTAGGTTAACATTAGTTTTGCCAAATCTTAACTATGCTTATATCGATAAACCTCTACCTGTTAAAAAAAAATTAATTTGTGTGAGTAGGGGCCAAAATTCTATCAAACATTTATCACAAGGCAAGCGGATGCGGTGAAATGACAACCTTCATTCGTTGAGGAGTATCCCTTGGCACCAGGAGAAGATTCAATGCAACTAAGATTAAATACCACGAGTATTTTCTGTTCAGCAGACAGCTCCTTGGTTTAAGCTATCCCACTCCAAGGAAATTCAGTGCAGAGCTATCTCATCAGCTGTGCTGCGGAGGCAGCATGTGGGTTGATACTATTTCACAAGAAAAGTGATGCCCACATGCTGACATACACAGGGGAACGAAGAGAACACGAATTCTCTTCATTTCCAATTAAAATTATTAGGTTATTACAGAATAAATAAAATAGAGCCCTCATGCATATCAAGCCATCTTCTACTTTGAATTTTCAAAGCGAGTCAAAGTTTTAAAGTTTTATGTGTTTTTGCTGTAGGGCCACAAAGTCAACCACACACGTCCTTCTCGTAGTACATGAGGAAACCAGGATTACAACCCTTTTCTCCTCATCCTTAGTGCCTTCCAGCAGCTATGGCATAATTTTCCGATTTTTCACATGGAAAGACACCAAAAAAAAGACCAGAATGCAAGAGTGATTTCACACTAGGCCAAAACCGCCTCAGTTTTACAGCCTATGGTCATGTCCTCTGGGGACAACTCCAGCAGAACCAGCATGTTGTGCACTGAAGTCTGAATTTCTGTTCACAGAGGAGAGCGATGATGATATGGAAGGCTTTCCTGTCAGCGCACCGTATCAACAGAACCGGGCTAAGTCCATAAATGGGAATTTCCATTAGGATGCTAATGACTGTAGAAACCAAAAGGCAATATTTGAGTTTCAACTGACAATGCTTACTCGGTAGAAGGGGATTTGGCTTTGCAGCAGCAAATAAGGAAAGAAGCAGAAGTCTTGCAGAGTGCCACGGGAACCTCTTCTGCAACAAGGTCAGCAGAGGGAGGCAAGTCCTTTTCACCAAAACAACCCCAGGCGGCTGGGCTTGTGTCTGCAGCAGTGTCAGAATTTAACTGGGGTACCGTGGACCACTTATTGTATTGCCTACACGCTGGGTTCGTATTTACTGGGAGTGGAGTTGTACCACAGTGGAGTACAGGGGCAGAGCGTCAGGGCAGAGAGAGTTTCATATTTACTAGGACAAGAGTTTTTGTACGAAGGTGGCAACCTCTCTGGAAGGTTTATATGCACACTCAGCTCAAACTCGTTATTAACACAGGTGCCTTTCACAAGCCTGTTGTAGATGTTCTGCCTCAGCACCCTTCTGCTTCAGCAGAAAAACCTTCTGCTGCAGCAGCAGTTCTGCCTTGGTGAGTTTTATCTAAGAACTACAAGACTTCAGTCTTTTCTGAATATAAGAAATAGTTCTTCTAATCAGCATAGTGCCAGAATCCTCTTAAAAAAAATCTTATCATGCATTCAAAACTACCGTAAAACCCACAAATGCACCTCTGCAAGCTCGTTACAGACACCAGCAGAGATGGTTACAAATGGTTTAGGCTCTGAATAGCGTTACCTGTAATAACCAGGCATCACAATGTGCACGCCTGCACTTGGCTGACAGATGTTTGGTACTTGCTGATCATCCATTTTGCGCACAGAGTCTGTGAAAGGTCCCGTAGCATTGATAACACACTTGGCTTTGACATCAAATTCCTGCCCTGTGAAAGAAAACAATATCAATCACACACCCCATTTGTTTTCCTGCTCACTGACACTCTCTATTATTAATGTATCTATGGACTTAACCTACTGTAAAGCATATCGGGCTGGTCTGAACAGAACAGCTGGAATAGTTTTTGAAAATTAACAAAGTTTCCACGTAACACTGGATTGGAAATAAAATGTTTTACAGTGAAATCCCATCTTATCTGCAAAGGCAGAAGGAGGCAGACTGGGTGGAAGAAGTTCAGCTGACATCTGCCTCTCAAACGGGAGAGATTTCAGTCTCAACCCGCAGACGCGGTAAATGGGATTATTACTGTACAGCACGGAGCGATTTACAATATCATCTCCGCTTGACGGAAGGGTTTGGATGTAAAGCTTAGTCTACCCTGCCAAAACACTAGGATTTGAGTGAAAAATCTGACAGAAGTTACAGATGATTGACACTAATGGTATGCCGCTGCACTCTGGGAAGATGGCTCCTTCGGCGGTTCACTGGTATTTACAAACAGCAGTGTTCCCCGCTCCTCCCTCGCTGCCTTATTTCTGGGGTTCTTTAATGAAAAAGGCAAAGGGCTGTGCTTTCTGCTCAGCTGGGGAACAGCAGAGCCCGCTGCACAGCGCCGAGCAGGGTGCTGCAGAGCGGGGCTCCGCGGTGCTGCACGGGTCGGCCGGCGCAGC